GGGAGTCTGCTTCTCCCTCTGACCCTCCCCCCTCTCATGTGCTCTCTCTCTCATTCTCTCTGTCTCAAATAAATAGATAAAATCTTTAAAAAAAAAAAAATGAATTCCTCTCGTATTCCTAATGGACTGGGTTACCACACTCTCTAGAATGCTCTCTGAACAAAATTAAAGGCGTGAATTAAAAATTACTTAGAAACCCCATCCACTTGCTGTGAAACCTAACACCTTATCAGAAGCCAACTCTAGGCCATGCTGAGAACAGGATAATGAAGTAAAATGATGAGGGGAGTGGTGGGGCCGCACAAGGCCAGCAGCTGCCCCCGCTCCCCGCCCCTGCCGACCCAGGAAGCCACATTTGGCTGCGGGGAGCAGTCCACACGCCTGGAACAGTGCAGAGGGAACAGGGCACGGTCTCTCCCATTTTCCTACCACATAAAGCCTCGATGAATATATTCATTTGAACTTGAGTTTAAAAGTCTATAAATGTGTTTTTAACATTTGGGATTTCTAAGCAACGCCTTTCTGAATGCCCCATTAACATTATGGAAACAAACAGCAAGCTCCATTTACTTTTTTAAAAAAATGATAAATCACACATATTCTTTGGAGATAATTAAAATGATCCAGGAAGCACAAAAAGCAAGAAGTCCTCTCCACCCCCCCACCCCCGCATCCTGAGCCCCAGAGCTGATGCTATCCCTGGGCTGGTGGCTGGCCTTCTAGACCCCTGATGCTATCCATGCAAACACAGATGTGCACACGGGAGCTTCTGCCCTGATTCGAGAGCAGTCTGCTCAATGTGAGCGCATGACAATTTTAACTTGTAGACATCTACCTCGTTCTTTTTCATCATTACAGTCTCTTTAGAATGCCTGTATTTGAATTTAATAATTTCTATACTGGCAGTTTTCAAATTTTTGCTATTCTCAACAATGCTACAATGGACATCCTTGTACATAAATCTCTGTACATTTATAAATGTATTTCTGCAAATTAAATTCAGAGAGATGAAAGTGATAGGTCCTAGAGCTTACAAATTAAAAATTTTTACACTTCCAAACTATCTCCCATCAACTAGGCTAAACTAGTTTAAACTAAAACATTTTAACTAATGCAAGGTTAAAAAAAAAGTTTCTTGCCCTCAAGAACAATTATTAGTATTTCAAAGCCAACAAGCACGATTTCATACTCTGCTGATAGGAGTACAAATTGCTATAAGTTTTCTAAAAAGCAGTCTCCAGCAACATTCTTGATAAGCTTTAAAAAATGTTCATATTCTTTTGAGACAGTACTTCCACATTTAGGAATCTCTCCTCAGAAAATAAAATGAACAAAACTTTACAGAGTCACATTTACAGGGTTACTTAGATGCAAATAATGAAAAATTAAAATGCAGCTTTTGAACCATTTCTCATGACTTGGTGAATGGGTTTACTCCGTATTTTTTTAAAACATTTTAGGGGAGAACACAGGGGCACCTGGCTGGCTCAGGGGGTGGAGCATGTGACTCTTGATCTAAGGTTTGTGGGTTCAAGCCCCACACTGGATGTAGAGATTACTTTAAAAATAAAATCTTTAAAACAGAATTTTAAAAAATTAAAAAATCAAAAGCAGAGAGAACATAAAAGTGTATGCAAATTACAGTATATCAACAACTTAATACAGACGTGTACATAAATTTACGTGTATATACACGCACAAAAGCACACAACCACAAGTAACAGACTCAAAGGAAATAGTCCCAAATGTTTTAACTCTGCTTATCATTGAGCAGGACTTTTTTTTTTTCACTTCCTTAAATGTTTCTCTGTATTTCTGCGATGCGAATGAACTGTATTCTTTCATGCTCAACAGGGAATGTTAAGATTTTTCATATTACGAAGTTAATTCCCTCCCCCTCAAAAAAGCAAAACATATTATTATGAAATATTGGATTTTTTGAAGTTACCTATAACATAAAAACTAAAGTAAAATTTGAAATATTGGCTCTCCTAAACAGTTAAGCTTCTCTAAAATAACTTATAAGGAACCAACCAAAAAGAGCCAAAGGAAAGCATCTGCAAGGCACTCACTCACTCGTTATTCCTTACCTGTCCGCAATACTTGATGGTTTATCGCCAATGGGCACCAGCATCCCACCCCAGAGAGACGCTGAGAAAACCTATGGAAACACAAGCAGGGAGCCGTGATCTTTGGCGCTCCTTCCCCGCAATGAGCGTCCGTGCTGGCCGCCGCACTGTGCAGAGCTCTGGGTCGGGGCGCGGGGCTACAGACTGGGGACGTCGGACTGTGCAGCTGAGGCGCTACAGTTGATGGGGTTTTGTGGACACTTTTATGAAGACACAGCAAACACGAGCACACACCAAGCCCAACGCCCAAGCAAGGCAGGGCTCTCTTGGCTTCCGTTCCAACACAGGGCAGCCCCCCGCTTCCACGCGGGGTGAGGCTGAGCCCGGGGGGAGACACACACTGTCCGGCCAGGGGGCAGCAGCGCCTTCACTTCGGCCCCCGACCCTAGCAGACCCGGAGAGTGGCCAGCAGTCCTTCCTGCTTCCCCACAGGCACCCCCACTTGCCTTGATGGTGATGCCACACTGGGCCTCCCTCCAGACAGAAACTAGTTTCAACAAGGGGCCCAAAGCCCTCTACCATCTGGTCCAACCTCTGTCCTCCCTGTGCTGTCCCTCCTCACCCTGTCTGGTCATGGCAGCCCCCTGGCCCATCTGGGAACATGCTGTAGCTCCTGCCCAGAGAGCCTACAGCTGGCTCCCTGGCTTGGTTCTGGGCTGCGCTGCCTCACCCAGACGCTTTCCCGGACTATCTTCAATGGACCGCACCCCCTTTGGGCCACTTTCTCTTTACTCTGTTTTATAATTCTTCGTAACACTTGCCACCTGCTAAACTGTACACACGTGCTTGCTTGTGGGTCTCCCTTCACTGGAACGTGAGGGGGTGGGAACAGTGTTTTACGTGGTGAGGTACCCTTAACGCCCAGGCAGTGCCGGGCAGCTGACAGAGATGTGGAGGGCGGATGGGGAGGTGAGTGCGTGCATGATGAGCGGTACCCAGAGAAAGGCATAGGAACTGAATGCACAGTGCAGGAACCCCGATTGTGGTCTGGAGGCCAGAGGAGTTCTACAGGAGATACGCCAAAGTCTTAAAAAGGCAGGGAACGAGGGGCCGGTGAACAGCTGAAAGAAGGGACTAACAGCCAGCAGAGGACAAAGTACAAGTGCCTGGAAGTAAGAGAGCCTGGTCCTTTCGGGAAACGAGAAGGAGTTGAGCAGAACCAAAGCACAGGGAGCGGGGAGAGAGACGAGCCTGAAGACTAAGTGTGGCACCAACAGTGCCCACCTCACGCGGGACAGCGGTACTGTTAAGACTTGCATCTCACAAAGAGCAGCACGTCTGCGGCGTGGAGGAGGAGAAGGGGGAGCGACACTCATCAGAAAGGGACATCACAACCAAGGTGCGAAAGCGCAGCATGGGATCTGGGTGACACTGAGCAGGCAGAAGAGGCAGGGCTGGGTGCTCAGTGGCCTTCAGGGTGAGGACTCCTCCAAGCAGTTAGGGAGGTCAAGGGCAGCTGGGTCAACAGCTGTGCAAGCCAGTGGAACTGGGAGCCCGGGTGCGGGGTACAGATTCAGGAGGGAAGTAATAGTTGGTTTCAGACATGCTGAATTTGACGTGTCCGAGGAACAGAGTGAACACCCGGCAGCATGTGACTCTGGCACCAAGGAGAGCTGCGCCAAGCACACGGGCAGGACGAGATCCTCTGGGGAGAGTGGCAGCGTAGGACACCTCCACGAGAATCTAGGGGGGACATTCTCAAGGTGGGAGTGCAGCAAGCCTCGAAAGGACCCCGCAAAGAGGAAGTGGACACGTGGAAGGAGGACACAGTCATGATGGAGTCCAGTGAGGACAGCGTCGAGTGCAGTGGCGAGGGCCGGGGAGGGGACCGGGAGGAGCTCGCCGACTGGACAACGCGGGGGCCTCCGGACCAGCAGCGGCAGGGGAAAGGCAGGAACCACATGCAAGAAGCAACGACGCCAGGCCTGACTGGGGGCAGTGGTAAGTGACTGTAGAAGTAGACACGCGTACCATCTCATTAAAGCTCACTCCTCGCCCCGAGTTTGGTGGTGGCGAAGGGCAGAGGTGGTGTGTGTGTCGCAGGGGGGCACAGAGAGCTGTCCCCAGTCTCCCCAGCCCTGGGAGGACTGGAGAACGAGCCGAGGGGCTCCTCTGCCTTGGTCAGAATCAGGTCACTTACTCCTCATTCCTGAGCAAATCAGGAGAAACCAAACCAAACCGGATTAAAGATTTAAAAAGAAATTCCCGGAAGCGCCCAGAGCCCTGCAGACTCAGCAAAATAAGGTGAAGCCTTGGAATTTCTTTGGAAGGGACCTCAGAGGGAAAGGAAGCGCATTCCTCTGCCCTCCAGACACATTTCCATGATGGCCCCGAGCTGACAAATGGGGAAGGGGCTCTCCTGGGGTCCCACATAAAATGACTGACAGGTTCCTCTTGAAGAGAGAAACGATCACTTCTCCCCAGAGTATCCTCAATTCCAGCTAAATTGAAAAGATCGAGCACTTCAGTTTCAAGCACTAACGTTCTGGGCTTCCCCTCTGGATGATGCTTTTACTATCCAGGAATTGAGTTTCCAAAAACAAGGGATAAAAATACAGGTGAACGGTCTGGCTGGATACTCACTGAATCGAGTAAAAGTTGTTTATTCAACTGAAGCTCGAAATCTTCTTTTATGAAGCTCACGTCCCCTCCAGTGTAGCCGGCCAGCTCCTGTTGGCGAAGGATCCGCATGTCAAATAGAGCAAACAGACTCACTACACCAGCTCCAAAACCATGTCACTCCAAGTACTATTTACTTTTGTTGTTCTGTATTTTTAAAAAGGCAGATTGCTTCTGTCTGTCCCCTAGAAGCTCCATTCTAGCTGTTATTCTAGTTGTTCTAGATGGTACCAGGGGACTGACATAACACAGAATCCTCAAACATACTGACTGTGCAGAGTATGTTATGTTATGTTATGTTACTCCTGTATGTGGGGAGAAACAATGGCCACGGGAACATTCTGCTGCATGATATGGCTTGTTTGGCCTACTCGGTGTTTGAAAAAAAGAATTAGCCAATCTTGCACAATTGGGCACATTTGATGTAAAAATCTGATTTCTAGTTGGTCCTCTGATCCTGAAGATCAGGCAGACAGCACAACAGTGCACCCCCTGTTGGCATCCACCCCGGGGACCCTCAGGTGTAGGAGTTACCCTCCCTGCCTTGAGGTGGTCTCTTACTGGTGACCAAGGGATTAGCTCAGCCAAGCCTCAACTTTCCTCCCTGCCTAGTGAGTGACCCCATCCCAGAGGCCAGAACTTTATCTCCCCTCCACACTGTGGGGGCAGAACACTGCACTACATGGAGCAGTTCCAGAGCTGGGACCCTCACATGGGACCGACACCCCTGAAAGCCATTCTAGAACAATCTCCATAATTAAAGGAAAGCATTCAATATAGAAAATGTGCCTACTGGGTGGGACTCTCTCCCCTCCCGGGTCACCGAGCCAGCAGGTCGCACGTAGGTAAAGGAATACTACCTGGTTAACTTTCAGCAGAGCACCTCTTCTGGGCAAGATGGAGGAGTTCCGTGAGTCGATGACCATTGCATGCTGAAAGAAACGTGCATCTCAGTATTTCACTTCAAGCCATCGTGTCAAGTAAGAAGGCGTACTTCCTGAGCGCTGACCACAGGCCGCGTGCTGTGCCCAGCCCCTTGCCCTATCACATCACTTCACCTTCAGAAAAGCCCTCTGGGAAGGCAGTTCCTGGTCCCTAATTCACAGGTGAGGGAACCGAGAGGGTGGAGCAGACAATTCATGGTCACCAGCTGGGAGATGCCGACCTGTCGCTCGGCCCATCCTCTCAAGGAGCTTGACCCTGACCTAAGTGAACTCGGCCAGCTTTCAAGCACATCCCACAGTCGGCTCCCAGGCACACCTTCCCATCTCCGCTGACGATGCTTCAACAGAATAATTCGGGGCGAGTGCCCAGAAACTCACAAAGCCGCCAGCAGCCACCCAACCCGTGACCCTTTCCGGTCTGTCCCATTGCTGGCGAAGGCTATTCTCCCAATGCATCTAAATACGTAGTCAAACGAGGAAAGCCCTTACCGAAAGAGATGATTTCAGCGAGTGCCCACTTTCCTTCCGGACAGCAAAGGACGCCGTCCTCGAGAGGCAGCCCAGCTCCCGCCACACGCCCTCCCACTTGACGGTGTGGTTGGTTTTCCATATGGGAAACTGCAAGGACATGGGGGTGGGGGTGGGGGAGCCCACAATAAGCCTTTCTGTGCTGTACCCATGGGGAGTCGTCCCCCATCAGGCCTCAGAACGAGGCACAGAAATCTTGTTCCAATTAAACACCTAAGATACGTATTTTGTTTTGTTTTGTTGTTGTTGTTTTTACGGTGTGTGGGAGGGAGGAAAAGAAGGGAAGGCGGGGAAGGGAGGGAGGGAGGGAGGGAGAAGGGGAGAGAGCTGTGATCCTGCTCAAAGCAGCAGGACTGTGCTCCGAGCAAGGAGACAGGTGACCTGTGAGAAAGCCACACTCAGCGCCCAGCTTGGTAACCCACAGGCTGCTTTCCGGGCTCTATGACCTGACGCTCACCCCACCTGGCCCAGTCCCCGGTCCAAAGCCAGTATGAGTGACGGCGGAGACCCACATCAGGCCCCGGGGAAGAGGGAGGAGACGAAGGTGCTCACGAGTGAAGAGCATCCTTCCTGCAGCCAGACGCCTGAGCCACGTGACCCCCGGGCAAGCAGCACCTGCCTCTTGCCCTGACCCTCTGGCCCCAAAGTCAGGCCCGCCCATCTCAGGTCCCCATCACAGAGAGACACCCAGGTTGCTCTGGAACAGTGAACACTATCTAGTGGCCTCAGGCAGTGTGACGATGATGTGACTCCTACAAGTAAGCCAGGTCACTTCACATTCCCGGCGCGGTCTTTCGCTGGGCATTCCCCGTAGCCCTCAGGCCTGGCTCCCAGGGTGAGAACTCGGGGCCACCCGCCTCAACTCTGGTTCTCATCGAGCATCCACAAGGCACGGTATCAAGCAGCCAGGATCCAGGGCAGCCTTGCCCACCTGCCATTTCCGCACGTAGGGCCACATGAGACTCAGCTACTCCCCCAAATGCCTGAGGAAGGTGCACGGCTGGCCTAAATCATTCCCTCCTTCCTCATAAGGCAGCTCCTAACAAGAGAAACACAACCGCCCAGAGGAGACACATCTATGTCTCTGTGTTCACAGTCAGGAGGATGAGGCAGGGGCCAGATGGTGCCCTTTTCCTCCAGGAGCTCATCTCTCAAGCCCAGGGCCACCAGCTCCCAGTCCTCTGTCCCTCCCATTCCCCTGGCCCCTCTGCCATGCACCTCCCCAAAGGCCTCGTTCAACAGAGATGGCCTTCACCCCTGCTATGCCTTGGGGCTAAACCAGCTATCTCTAAGCCTCCTAAGAACCTGCTCTTTAAAAGAGGCTTAGAGGGGCACCTGGGTGGCTCAGTCGTTGAGCGTCTGCCTTCGGCTCGGGTCGTGATCCCAGGGTCCTGGGATCGAGCCCCGCATCGGGCTCCCTGCTCAGCCCGAGGCCTGCTTCTCCCTCTCCCACTCCCCCTGCTTGTATTCCCTCTCTCGCTGTATCTCTCTCTGTCAAATAAAGAAATAAAATCTTTTAAAAAATAAAAAATAAAATAAATAAAAAAGGCTTAGAAAAAAGTGATAAAAGGGGCACACGGGAGAGAGATGGGGAGGAACCCGCACACCAGGGCTCACCGCCGGTGGCCTCTGGAGAGCTGCGGCCGGACAGGGGCTGGGAGGGCAGCGCCAGCTGGGCGCCCCCCCACCCTGCCCAGGGCAGAAAGGCGTCCCAGGGCTATTCCCAGGAGACACGGAGAGGGGGCCACATGGAGAACTGAACATGGAACTGCAAGCGCTCACGTTGCATCCCGAGCCAGGGGCCGCTGGCCCCACTCCGTGCTGGGGGCTTCGTGCCCCTGGTCTGCCCGCGAGGCTGAGGAATGTAAGCGGCCAGTGTCTCCAGTGCCTCAAGGCACCGACTGCAGGGTTCCAGCACGGGTCCCGGACCAGAGCTGCCGGGGCGCGGATGGAGAGAACGTGCCGGCCGTCCTCCCCGAGACGCTGGTTCAGCGGGCAGGCGGGGCCCAGGACCTTGCATTTCTAACCAGCTCCCGGGTGAGGCCATGCTGCTGGCCTACAGACCGCGCTTACGTTGGGTGTCCACTCTTCCCTCATGAACCGAGCCCGGAACAGGAGGGGAGCCCGCACGGTGTAGAAAGGGAGAGAGGGCAGGGGTCATCGTAAAGCCAAAAGGTGGTCAAATGGTAGGAATTCCATCTGCTGCATTACGTCAGATCCTGCTAGAAGTACATAAGTGCCCACCAACGAGGAAAGCTTTCAGTAACCCGCAGTGACCTTGCTGGCTGCCAGAAGCTATGGACCTCAGCACACACGAGGAAGGACAAACACACGGCATCGCAGGAAGGCGCCAGCCAGGAAGCACCCCACAGCAGGGCGAAGGGCAGAGGGTGACCCCGGCCACGAGGCCCGCACTCCAAGCGCCAGACTGCAGACAGGCCTGCCCGCCCTGGCCCGCCCCCTCTTGCTGACTCTAGCGATCAGCGAAATAGGCCTTGTTCTCACTCAAGTGCACAGAGGGAGGGACGAAAGGCTACTCACGCTGTACTCGGCAGACACTCCTCTGTCTGTCTCCCGAAGTGAGCTCCAAGGGAACTGGCCAGTAACTTTATATAAGTTTACAGAGAAGCTAGGAGACAATGGGACAGAGCTTTAGATGCTCAGTGATGATAACTCGTACACATTTAAATCAATAGATCTAAAAATACACTTCCGGGGCTCAGTGCCACGAGGAAAGCTGCAGCGCCTTGTGACACACCACACAAGGGCGAGCTGCTTCAGCCAAGTGTCTGTTCACAACCAACGCATCTACTTTAACTTATAACCAGGCCACTGTACTCAATCGTCTGTTGGCTTCCTACTTTCTCTCGAAGTTTCCGGGCCGTGGTTTGAAGAAGGACAGGCCATACGAAGTCTCTTTGGTTCCATAGGAAAACTGAAAAGTCACCTTTTCTGCACGGCCTAGAAGATTAGGGAGTTTGAGGCCAAGCACCTAGGAGGAAGAGAAAATCAGCGGTGGTTTACATGGAAGGAAGGGTAACTGTTAAGAAAGACTCTGCTGGCAAAGGGAGCCTCATAAACCCAGGACAAAACCGCGGACTACAGATCTGGCCTTTCCTCTTTAAAAATGTACCTTTGCTGAGTGGATATGCCACCCCCCCCCCGCTTCTGTCTGATGGTGAGAGGCAGGCTCACTTGCTGACTGCAAAGCCAGGGAAATCAACTGTACAGATTGGGAATTCAGGGGAATTTGAACAAGAAACTTAATACAAACATTCTCCAAATCACTCCTAATTAACCACTGATGTTACCTACTGTTTTCAAACAATGTGAAACATACTACAGTCGGGATGGGGTGAAACAGGGGAAGGGGCTGAGGAGGGTACTCATCATGATGAGCACTGGGTGATGTGTGCAACTGGTGAATCACTCTCCTGTACACTTGAAACTCAGCTAACACTGTGTGTTTGCTGGAATTTAAATTAAACGAAAAAGTAAAACATACTATAATCAGGTCTAGGAACATCAGTGAGACACCATCAGCTAGCCTAGAGATGAAGGTGTGTGAGAGTCTTGAAACCACCATCAGTTTTGAGAACAGTCACATTTAAAGGCTCATTATTAAAAGTTCTGCTAGTAGGAAGTATATCATACCATACTGCCTTCGTTGTTCCCAACCATGGTGTTGTAACTGCCCGTTAATCTCCTTAATTCAGTTACTTCAAAGGTAACGTCTAACCCATTTGGAAGCGCATCATCACCTACGTACACAAAAAATATTGAACAGTGAGACAGCTCGAACATGCGGTTTTATTTTAGGTCCCACTGCTAAAAAAGACAAAAAGCCATTTGAAGGTTCATTTCATTTGACAAACACACCGTCTATTTTAAAGTTCAAGAACAGTCCACCACAAAATCACAATATACCTTTGCACCTAAGAACCTGCATCTAGTTCCTGTGGTAGAAGATATCAAACAAGTCAGATGCTACAAGGAGGGAACTGCGAGCAGCGATATTTGCTTAAGTGCATGCTATCTGCTAAGGGCATTTCTTCTTCTCCTAGAGAGTCCTTGAGGATACTTGAGGCAGCAATTCAACTGCCATTAAAACAGAATTCTTGTGACAAGAGGGACTCTAGTAACCCCAAAAGAGAAGCAACAAACTCAATGCAAGTTCAGAGGTGACGGTCCCTGTCTTTCCGCGAGCCAGGGGTGCGGTGGCTGTGGGATGATGAGGGCCCGAGTCGGCGGCAGCTGTCCTGGCACCCACCACAGGCCCCAGGGTGCTGGGGGGCAGGGCTGAGCTCTGCAAAGGACTGGGGGTCTCTCATAGAAAGGAAGGGCTGACCCCCCAACCCCGGCGGGGCAGTTGAGCTGCCTCAATGCTGGCTCCTCGATACCCAGACTCAGCCCAGGCCGGAGCCTTGGCACCATTTTTTTTTAATTTAATTAAGAGCCTTTCCTGTTTAGAGCGGCTTTAGGTTTATGGAAAAATCGAGCACAAAGTGGAGAGTTCCCGTAGAGCCTACCCCCACCCACACGCATCTCCACCTGCAGTCATCTTGCATCAGCGTGGTAACGTTTGTCACAAGTCACAAACCCACAGCGAGGCCTCAGCAGGAACCACAGTGTGGTCTGCACGGTTCGTCCTTGCTGCTGTACATTCTACAGGGTCTGACACATGGATGACGGCGGGCACCCCCATCACAGAATCATGTAGGGCTTTACTTCCCCAACCGTTCCTTCTCACGAGTTCCCAGGTAATGCTAACTGCCGCCGGGATGGAGCACCCCACAGAAGCGCCCCCGCGGACCACACGCACGTCACGTCGACGGCAGGCAGGAGAGCGCTAAGGTGAAATGCTGCCAACCAGACGTGGCCCCAAGAAAAGCACTCCAGGGGCGCCTGGGTGGCTCAGTTGGTTAAGCGACTGCCTTCAGCTCAGGTCATGATCCCACGGTCCTGGGATCGAGTCCCGCATCGGGCTCCCTGCTCTGCAGGGAGCCTGCTTCTCCCTCTCCCACTCCCCCTGCTTGTGTTCCC